GTTACCGAACAAATGGACCCATGGCAGGGGATGCCCAGATGCTATTACTGAAACACGAACACCCCCCTTCCGAGGGGTCCCTCGGTTGTAGGTCCTTTGCCCACCGCCCTTGGAATTACAGCTCTGCATGGCAGAGTGGTGAAAAGGAGAGGAACTATTTATTCAAAAGTTATACAGGTTTGATTAATGGCTAAATGTTGCCCTGGAACCTCAAAATCCCTTTAAGACAATCAGCACACACAGTCCTGCCTTCCCCCCTTTGCCCAGTTAGGCCAGTCAGGCCTGTCAGGGGTACCATCTTTCAGAAGAAAAAAAAGAACAGAAGTCCGGGGCTCAGCTAGGCAGGCCTCTCGCAGTTCTCAGCACCATATGCTGCGTCGCTGCGATCTCCAGCTCTTAATCCATAACCATGTGGCACCTTCTCATGGCCCACTAGCAAGACTCCTTTCTCCCCTCTTTCTTCCCATGTGGTCTTCACACTCTTCCCCAGAGCCTGTGTCCCTTGTTCTCTCCTGCAGGCCCCTGTCTCTCCTCCTCCTCTCTCCCAGTTCCATTCTGCATTAAGTCTTTGAAACCTTCCTGACTAGACTTGGTGATATGCAAAATAACCCTCTTTGCATATGAGGAATGAAGCTATCCCGTGTGTTCGACATACAAAATGACTCCCAAGGGCCCTGCTCAAGGCTCCCATCCCCCATGGCGGCCTGCCCTGGGGTGGGGAGAATATATTTTTCTTGGACACCCCAATCACTGGACCCCGTTACAAATACCCTTTGGGGGGCTCTGGCTGTGCCCTATTACAAAGTCTGGAAAAAGGGGGAAAAGGGGATTACTCTGCAATTCCAAGGGTGGTTAATATGCAGCCTGTTTTTCATCCACTTAACTGTCTCACAGAAGATGAACCTCAGCACCAGTGGCCCACATGGTGAAACACTGAGGCTTGTGTGTGCCAGGCACTCTGCCAGGGCCTGATACAGTTGAGTTAAGGAGACAGACATGATGAAGTCACACTCCTGTGACATGCAGAATGCCTTCTCCAGGTGTGTGTAGAGAGAAGGAAAAATAACCTTTCTCCTCTATGCATGTTGGGTTCTTCAGTGTAGCCCTCTAAAGTAGACTGGCAAAAGACAGATTAGCAAGAGAGAAACAAAGAGAAGTTTATTAACAGATGTGCCATACATATATACATGGCAGCACCCAGTGATGAGTAATCAATCCAAAGGGGCCATTAAAATTGAGGCTTACATACCATTTTAGGCTAAACAAAGGAAAAGGGTTTGGGCTTCTGGGCAGTGGAGGCAAGTAATAAGAAGGTGATCAGGAAAAGTGGTAAACAAAGGTTCTTTAGTAAGGACTGTTAATGCAGATTTAAGTCAATGCCTTCCTCCTGTACAGGACAGAGAAGCACCTTTACAATGTAAATTTCCTTTAACAAAGGAAAATTTGTGCCTTGTTTTTAGAGCTTTTCCTGAACCTGCTGGTTCTCAATAGCCTTTAGCTCCATGTGCTAAAGAAGCCTATTTTGGGGTGGTGTATTCTGGTACATTTTAGGGTTGAGTAATTAATTTGCATAGGGGAAACCAGGAAGACTAGATTCACTGGGTGTAGGAGAGATGCAACAGGGTCTGGGCTAGTCATGTTTACTGAGCCCTTCAGAAGTGAACTGGTGACCATAACTCGAATAAGCAACTAAAACTGAGGTTCTAGTGTAACGGGGCACAGCCAGGGCCCCCCAAAGGGTATTTGTAACAGGGTCCAGTGATTGGGGTGTCCAAGAAAAATATATTCTCCCCACCCCAGGGCAGGCCGCCATGGGGGATGGGAGCCTTGAGCAGGGCCCTTGGGAGTCATTTTGTATGTCGAACACACAGGATAGCTTCATTCCTCATATGCAAAGAGGGTTATTTTGCATATCACCAAGTCTAGTCAGGAAGGTTTCAAAGACTTAATGCAGAATGGAACTGGGAGAGAGGAGGAGGAGAGACAGGGGCCTGCAGGAGAGAACAAGGGACACAGGCTCTGGGGAAGAGTGTGAAGACCACATGGGAAGAAAGAGGGGAGAAAGGAGTCTTGCTAGTGGGCCATGAGAAGGTGCCACATGGTTATGGATTAAGAGCTGGAGATCGCAGCGACGCAGCATATGGTGCTGAGAACTGCGAGAGGCCTGCCTAGCTGAGCCCCGGACTTCTGTTCTTTTTTTTCTTCTGAAAGATGGTACCCCTGACAGGCCTGACTGGCCTAACTGGGCAAAGGGGGGAAGGCAGGACTGTATGTGCTGATTGTCTTAAAGGGATTTTGAGGTTCAAGGGCAACATTTAGCCATTAATCAAACCTGTATAACTTTTGAATAAATAGTTCCTCTCCTTTTCACCACTCTGCCATGCAGAGCTGTAATTCCAAGGGCGGTGGGCAAAGGACCTACAACCGAGGGACCCCAGGGAAGGGGGGTGGTGTTCGTGTTTCGGTAATAGCATCTGGACAACCCTCTTCCCCATGGGTCCATTTGTTCAGTAACACCTTCAAGGCATCTGTGTGCTGTAAATATAATTGTTAACTATTATGTGCCCACCAATATAAAAGAAGTATGTGTCTACATTTTACTTTTTATCACTCTCAAGAGATTTTCCTACTTTGCTTTCTCCCGCCTCCCTTATCACCAACAGAGTTCATGTAACCCTGTCTTCTCCATTGATTCTAATTTATAAAATAAGGTGCAAACCTCCCATTCTCTGAAGCATTTTTTCAAGTCATTAAGATTTTGCTTCTTGGCAATTGTCAATGCTTTGGCTAAAATAAACTCATAAAAATTCTCTATAGGTTTGGATGTTTCCCAGACTGTCTAGCTTTTCCTTTCTTACTTCAGAAGTAAGTGGATGCCATACTTGTCAAATATCACTCGTTCGGGGCATCACCTGACATGAATCTCATCCTGATTGCCCTTCAGTTAATGGGCCATGAAGTACAAAGTAAAAACTCCATGCTTCAAAGCCTGAGTGAATGAACAAGATGTCCATCCAGAGTGGCCTGAAACTATACAGGACTCTGAAGAGCGATAGCTGCAGAAAGGGCTAGGTGTAGGAAAACAGCTGGCCCTGAAGTGTCCACAGAAGCTGAAAGTCAGTGAAGAGACAAGACTGGCAATCAGACAAGCAGTGTGACAAAGGGGAGTGAACAGTTGCTCCAGAGTGGACAGACCACATGTGGTGGCTAATTCTTTCCGAAGGCTGTGACCACATGTCCCATCCCCTGTGCTCTTTTTACACTGTGACTGATGCTTATCCCATCAAGAGGTAGGGGTCTATGTTTTCTCCCCCCAGTTCTGTGCACAGGCTTGTGATAGCCCAGACTACAGGATTCCACAGAAGTGGTGCTATGTGACTTCCAAGACTATGTCAGAGAAAAGAGATGACTACAAGCTAGCTGGCTCTCTCCCTTCATCTCTCTCTCTCAGAACACTCACTTTTGGAACCCAGTCATCGTGTCATGAGGAAACCCAGGCCATACTGAATGGCCACTGCAGGAGTCAGCTTTACACCCTTCAGGTGATTCCAGCTCCCAGCCTTCAAATCTTCCAGGTTATCTCCCTGCTGTCCCACCTGAGTTCCTGGCCCACAGAAACTGAGAGATAATGCTTATTATTTGGGGTAACAGGCTATGTAGCAATAGATAACAATGCATGCAGCTTGAATGCCAGCTGTACTCCTCCTTGGCTGTGTGACCTTGGACTCCTCTCCTTGAGCCAGTCTGTTGCCAGACAACAGGTGAAAACACACACCTTCCCTACAGGGCTGTCCTGAGCACGAGTTAATGACCATAAGATGCCCAACAGTCCTAGTTGCTCCAGCTATCTTGTTTATATATTTCCCCATTGAAAATGTACTCTCATGAAAGGCCATTCTGCTCACTACTCTATCCCCAGGGCTTACAAGAGTGCCTATCTCAGCAAATTTCCCAGAGTGTGTTGATTGAAAAGATGGAACTAACAGAGCATCAAAATGCTCACAAAATGCCATTAGTAAATGACTAGGGTGGGGAGGCAAGAGGCTGTCAGGGTGGAGCAGGGCTATAAAAGGCTGGGAGGCAGTCTCAAGTTCAGGGCACTCTAAAGTCAGTAAGAGATCTGAAGCCTGATGGTGACACAGGCAGGGCTGGTGACACCAAGGGAGTAACTCCTCCCAAGCCTGCTGAGTAGTGGTCTCACTACCAAGCAGAGCTCCCCACCCACCAGGAGCCTCCACTAGCCGTGTCATGTGGCATGGTCCCACACTGCTGCTAGCAAAGTGTCTGACTTTCCCTTGGTCATAGCAGAACCTCTGATCTTTTCTAATACACACTATGCCTAGGTGCAAAGCAAGTTCATGGTGGTAATTCTGGTCTTTTAGGTCCTACCCAGGGCTGGTATATATAGCTCCTGCCACTTCTGAAGACAGCTAACTGCTCATTTTCCATGCTGAAGGCTTATCTACTCCATAGGCTTCCTCCCTCTTCCTTGAGAACGTTCCTTGGAGGGAAGAGAGGAACCTCACATTAAGTTCAAATGGTCCAAGGCAGATAATCACAGTGGAAGGCTTTTCAAGTCTTGGTATAAGATGTAATGACCATTGCTTTCATGGAACTACAGAAACTAACTATGAAACAGGATAATGAAATGACACAGCCCACCCAACCCTTGCAGCTCTTTTGCAAAAATTGCTTAAAAAAACCAGTGCCAAAGGGAAAGTGAAAAATTGAGCTTCAGGAAAACATATCTCAGGGAGCATTTGAGATCTTGCGTCCTGACATATGTTGTTAGTTTGGCTCAAATAAACTTTTTAAAAATGAAAGAAAGAAAAGGAAAGAAAGAAGAAAAGAAAAGAAAAGAAAAGAAAAAAGAAAAGAAAGGGCGGGTGGGAGGGAGGAGAGAGGGGAAGGAGAAAGGGGGAGTGGGGAGAGAGAGAGAGGGAGAGAAAAGAAAGAAGGCACTTCTTTAAGAGAACACAAAGGATTATGAAAGTCCTAGGTAAGTTTATTTTTTTTACATTGGCCATTCAATACTTTCTTTTATTTGGATAGCAAATCCTTCAATGATGCCAAGGGTTCTTAGACAAAGACTTCTAGGTTTGGAAGCACTCAGGGGCCAGCTCATCCACTATCTCCTAGCAATCACCATTTTTTTGTTGTTGTTCTTAGTTCCTAAGAAGGAGAGTCCTCACATCTGTTCAGACACATGCTCCAGGCTCCCAGTATATGTCCATCACTGTGAGAGAACTCATTAAACAGTAGTGACAGTGGCTAGCATTTACCCAACATCTCCATGGTGGTGCTGGTGCTGGAAGATAATTATCTTCATAAATGAAGGGCTTAGAGAATAGAGATTACAGAAGTTTTTGCATGTTGTGGAATCTAACCCTCTGGTAGTCTGACTCCACACTTTTAACCACTAATGTCATCACTCAGTAACCTCAGCCGTGATCATGCCCTGCTTTGCCCTTCTAAGTCCTCACAGGATTAATAAAACACCTCTTTCTACCCCTCCCCTTTAATGCCTTTTCAGTGTTATGAAGCCCTCCGAGTTTCTCTGGTTGGACAGAAGCCTACTCTATTCACAGTAAGGGACAGGTGCTAAGTCACATTGTTCACTGGTTTATTGAGATTCAGGGAGATACTTTCCCAAAAGACACCACAGTGTGAAAGGGACACCACCTCCCACCCCATAGGCCCATCTATCCATGTCAACAGTCAGGGGTGCCTTTCTTTGCTCAGAATTCTCACCAACTATCTACTGGAAGCAGCTCCCAAATCTCCCCACATTTCCTCTCCTTTAATTGCCCCAGAAAAACACAAAACCCAAGGAAGCAATCTTGGGAGGTGGTGTAGAGAAGGGAGAGGTGTGCGTATGAGGCTGCTAAGGAGCCGGTGAGTGAAAAGCTTCAAGGAGGTACCAACTAGATTATTAAGAAGCGACATAAAATCATATGGATGAATAAGAGAGAAAAGGATCTGGTTCTCAGAGTAAGGGAGACCCAGAGAACCTCAGGACTCACAGAGGGGCTATATTTACAAGAGACAGAATCGGGCAGCATGTTCTTCCATCTGGGAATAGGGAGTCTTGCCTCTCCCCTTCCCTCCCGCTATGGGACTATCCTCCCCACACATCCCTCACTTGTAAAGCAAATGGACTCGACTCCCATCACAGCTAAGCCGGTCAGGGAACTCAGGTGGGCCCCTGGGTAGGACCCCAGGCCCCTCTGGGGGTGTCAGAGGTGGGCGCCGTGAGCGGAGCTGCTGCCGGGACTGGAGCTGATGGCGCAGTTCAGAGACTCGCTCCTCTTTCTGGAGGGGGAAAAAAGTAATTAGGAGATGGGGAAAAGGGAAAGTCATGAAAGGTCGGGGAGGGAAAGGGGGGGACAATGGAGGAAAATGGGAGTGGGGATATAGGGGTAGGTAGACAAAAGAAATTAAAATGAGAAATCTGGAAAGAATAAGAAAAGCCAAAAGAGCATTAATAGGAGTACCACTGAAAGAAAAGATCAGGGAAATAAAGGGAAAGAGAAAGTGAGGAAGGGGGCAAAGGTAGGTGCACGTTGCTTCCAATAACTCATACAGATTCATGTCAACCCAGTTTGAACATGTCCTGCTCTGTCACTGCACAGCCTGGGGCCCAGTGGACACCATGGGTACCTGCCCATCCCCTTTCCTGGAGGGTGTGCTCAGCATTAGCTGCTGAGGGCTCACCACTGCCCAGCAGAGCTCTTACCTCCTGGTGAGGCCAACACTGGACCTTACCTGGCACAGAATCCTTGCTCCTTGCCTTACACCCACCTCTTCCCTAGCCTGCTGCCCTTTCCCTGGCAGGTTTTCTCACGATGGAACCTCCTGGACCCCTTCCACACCCTGAGTCAGCACACCTCAGCAATGATCTTCTCAAGCTCCCGGTTCTCCTTCTCCAAAAGCCGGGACTTCTCCTCCTCATGGTTGTTGGTCGATGATCCTGTCTTCATGGTGTCCTGAGCCTCCGACTGCCATTCCCCTCGGGTTATCAGTCGGCGCATCTGGGGGAGAATGTTTGGGGCATGGGAGGTCCAAGCAGGGACTGTGTTAGCAATGGACTGATGATGGATTGGAATTGGAAGGAAGAAAAGTAAGAGGAGCAAGCTCAGCGTCAAACAGGGAAAGCGGGTCAGGGCAAGGGGAGCACAGTCCTGGGAAGAAGGGATGGGGAGGGTGGGAGGATACCCAGGAGCTCACCTTCGGCACAAAGAGCACAACCAGCGTGATGTAAGAGGAGAAGACAATGGCAAGAGAGGCAAAGGCAAAGGCTGCATCCTGCTGGCTGGACAGTATCATGGTGACCGGGGCAGTGATGAGGCACAGGACCTGGGGGCAGTGTGTTTAGGAAGTCTTAGCTCTGCAGGCTCAGGCTCCAGGCTTTTCTTCCCCCTGGAGACTCTGAGGTCAGGCTCCTGGTGAACTTTCCATTTGAAAAGGATCCAGATGGGATCATTCTCAACTCTATCTTAAGAAGAATCACAAATAAACTGTCCCAAAAGCAGACCACAGCTCTAGGTCAACCCATCCCTCAAGGCAGGAGTGCCCACAATCTCTGGACATGCACCCAGAGCCCTCAAGAGTCAATCCCTGGGCATACCTGGCAGGAACTCTCAATTCAGATTCCAACCTGTGAACCCCAAACAAGCATTTTAACCTCTTTCTGCCTCCTCATCTATGTGGTAGGGGCACTAATATCCACTTCACTCGGTGGTTGTGTGAAAATTAATAAGACAGTGTCTGGGTGTTTATAAACTATAGAGTACTTTACAAATCTGAAGCATTAAAAAATTCTTTAAGACTTCCATCCAACTGATCCAAGGTCCAGTGTCTGATTCTTCCCATACCACCCCGTGTGGGTTGCTGTAATCAGCCCCTGGGGTCAATGCCAGGTGTCCAGGGAGCTCACCGCCACATTGTAGATGGCCATGCCCACAGCCCGGTGGTCATTGATCTTCTCAGTGGATACACTCTTGGTCTCATAAGCAAGAAAGATACCCAGCAGCAGCAGCAGTCCCTTGTAACCATAGAAAATACCTGCGACAGCAGGAAAGGGTCACCTAGGCAACATGACTTCCATGCTCCCATCCACTCCCCATCTTTTCTATGCCATTCACCCACCATGCCTCCTTCTCATAGTTCCCCAATGAAAAAGGAGCCTCTTCCCCAATCGAACCCCTCTAGTATACCCCTCTCTGTCCACTGCCCCCAGTGTTCACCCAGTTCACCCCAACCTCACCACTTCCTCCAGGGACTAGGAGCCATGTCACACAGGAAGACAACAGTCAATAACAGCTGTCAGGCAGGTAAGGGCCTGGGCCACACACAGTGTCTCACCCCTTAGCTTCAAGGTGGGAAGCCAGCTTTTCAGACTGAGGACAGGTTTACCATTTGTGGTCACAGAGAAGAGCAATTTTAACAAGGCCAGAAGGGACCTAAACCCATGCCCACAGAGCCCCAGCCTTACTTTAGGGACCCGTCTCGATGTAGAAGGTGTCAGGTCTGAAAATGAGAGTGAGGCTATCTCCACTGGTCTCTGCCTCTTCTGAACCCAACTCTGCCTCATCCCTTCTTTAGATCTTAAGCTCCTCCCAGCAAAAGACCAACTGTCCCCGATTCTCAGAAAAGATCAGTCCCAAGACAGAGGACATTCAACTGGGTTGACCTCTTCCTCTTTTTCTAAAAACCTTTCTTTCTCCAAACCGACTGTCCTTGCCCCATCCCTCAGCATGACCCCACATCAACACACCAAGCCACGTATTCATTTTCTTGGAGCTGCAGTGCTCCAGCTGGGGCAGAATAGACACATCAATATCTTCCTTTGGCTCCTCCTTGGCAAAAGTCTAAGGGAGAAATAAGGCCACAGGAAAGATGGCTGCCATCCTCCCGTTTCCCCACCTCTGCTCAGTCCCAACTCCCAACTCGGCCCTCTCTTTCCTATGAGACCCCCAATATGAGGTCAAGTTCAACTCTGGGCTAGGAAGCATTCACCTAAACCCTTTAGGAATGCTTGCTCCCCCTCTTTCCATGATGCCTGGAAAGTGTGCACATCCTTCCCAAACCCCCACCGCTTCCATTCTTCAGATGAATCTAGAGGCCTCTGATGGAATTTCTTCTAAGAAGGAGAAAAAGCTCTGACATGCAAAAAGCAGAAAAGTAGTCCCCTGCAGAGGGGCTTTCCTCCTCAGGACCATATGCAGCCCTGAAGGCTATGACTGCTCAGCCTTCTGACCCCAAGTGGTACCTCAATGGTCCGGTGCAAGGGGTCTACAATCTGCCAGATGGTGAGAGTGAGGACATCCATGCCCACCAGCAGGCCCACTGTGGCATACAGCTTCCAAGGCTCCAGGGTCTAGGCAAACATGAAGTACAGGCACATCACAGGAAGTCCACTAAGCCGACAGCCAAAGCACCAGAGGCTGAGGGATGGCAAACAGCTCACCTTCCTCCACTCCTTCTTCTCCTCTTTCTTTGTGAAGACCGTGTGGACCCACCAGATTTTGGTGAACATGGAGCCATAGCCCAGACTAAAGCCCAGACCCAGGAGCCAGAGGCGGGCCTAGGAAAGGAGAGGGGCAGGAGCAGACTAGGGCAGGGCTGCAGCAGGGGACAGATGACCGTGCAGGCAAAAGGCAGCCAGCAGGAATAGTGGGGGAAGGGAGTGCACATAAGGGAGGGTCTTCCTACCTTCAACAGATTCCTCCCATCCATCTTCTACTTTGCCACCAGGAAATCTTGCTAAAACCTGGGCTTTAATGACCAGTCACTTCTGACCATTCCCCAATGCCTACAGGTTTCAGCCCAGAAATCTAAGGATGTAGCAGGAGACCATTCACAGCCTCACCCACCTTTCCAGGCTCAGTTCCCTGGCCATCACCTGCCCCACACTCTAGCCAAGCTGCTTAACTGGCTCTCCCTTGGTCTACTGTCTTTTGTGTCTTTGCTACCCACATGATGTTCCCAGCTGACAAAATGCCATGCATCCTTCAATATTCAAATGTCACATCTTCTTTGAGGTCCACCCAACTACTCTGAGCTGCTCTCTCTTGTTTGCTCCCACAGCACTTTGTGCAGATCCCTATTCAGACACCTGTCACACTGCACCGCAGCTAACTGTCTGCCTCCCCACTGCATTCTGGTCTCACTGGAAAGAGACTGCTCCTGATGACCAGGATGTGCATGTGTGTGCAAATGCCCTGTGCAGAGAGGCATGAAGACAAGCACTGGGCAGAGGACAGGAAAGTAATAAGGTGTGCAAGGAAAAGTGTGTTTCCTACCAGCATAACACAGAATCACACAAATATCACTGTTGAAACCAGCCTTTCCACACAGCCCCAGAATCTTCCATGTACCAACAGTCCCATAGGGCCTCCTCCCTGTGTAACAGTGGTCCCTTTCTCTCACTGTCCCAGCTGTCAATTCAGATTTTCTGCCTCCATCCTTTCCAAGCCCAACTGAGGCTCCCACAGAAAATCCAGTTCTTGCTCTCAGACCCCACACCAAGACAAGCCACCACTGTTCCTTTGTGCAGACCCCTTCCTTCATCTTCAATAGCCCCTCCTCTTCTCATCAAAGCATTCCATGGTGATCTGGGAACCAACAAATGAGCTACAGAATGAAAGTGTCTAGAGGTAAAGAAAGACAGGGCAGAGACAGATAGGGACCAGAACAGTGACATTGGAAGGAAAGGCAGGGAACTAGACAGCACAGGAGGTGCTCCTGAGTGGTGGGTCAGCCACATTCTGCACAGTATCTATGCCCCCCTCACCTGGCAGATGAAGGGAAACTGGTTTCTCCCAATGTGGTAACCATCCAGCCCGAGGGGGAAGACAGCAGCTAATGCCAGCGAGCAACCAACAGCTGTCAGGTTATTCAGGTTGGGCTGTGAGTTCTGGATATAACTAGAGCAGAGGCAGGAAGAGAGGGAGAGAGAGAAAAGCAGAATGACCCCTTTCTGAAGGGAGGTTCAGCTCTCCAAATGCCACAGACAAATGAAGATAGGCCTAGAGGAGGCAGCAGATCCTTGAGAGAAAGACGACTAGTCAGGGGTTATGCATGGACTTGGAGGGCTTTCCTTCACACACATTCTATTTGGAGCCCTGCACTGTGTTGCCTGCACAGTTAGCTGCTTTGGAGCAAGGATGGGAGTTCTATCTGGTTTCCCCCTTTTTGTGCTCAGTGATCATTAAGAAAGCAGTAAGACAGTGTGAAAACCTCGATGATGTATGGCCTGGGAGTTACACAGGTTTAATTCTCACTCCCTTCAATGACCATCATCTTGGAGAGGCAGACAGAACAAGAAAAACATCAGAAGATACACTTACCGGACATGGGAGTTGTAGATGTTAAAGGACAGACAGACAACAGCTAGGACAATGCCCAGGCTGGAGAGAACTGAGACGGAGATAAAGAGTTTCTGTGACAGGAAGCGGAACGTCTTGATGACCAAGGTCTGGTCAGCAGGGGGGGACCCTCCTATGGTACAGGGGGAGGGGGAGAAAGGGAAAGAAAGGGAAGGAGGATAAAGGAATGAAGGTGGGATGGGGGGAAGTAATGGACGGAGCTGCTGGTCACTTCTTGGGCTATAAGGACATGAGACCTAAGTGACCTAAGCAGTGCCACTGCAGGTGCAAAGCTTGTAGGGAACAATGAGAAATGCAATCGAAAAATGGAGCACATGTCCTGTCTAGAGGCTGACAAAGGCTGAGGTGTGTCACCAAAGTTATAGCCCTTTTTTGTTATTGTTTGTTCTTTCTGTTTTTCTTGCAGGAAAGGAAAATGGGAAGGTAGAGAAGGGGAGAGCTGATAAAATTATGAGGTTTCTTGTTACTCAAATCAAAAACTACAAAAAAGCTTTATGATTATAAAATGTGTGTGCAAATGCAAAAGCTAAAAAGCCTCCAAGTATCTAGTCTGCCCTCCTAACTTTAGGAAAAGAAGAAACAAAAACTAATCTATGATTTAACTCTGGCAGGGTGATATTCCCAAAGGTCTTTTTCAGTTATCACTATAAGGAAGCTTACATTTGTCAGAGTTTGTAGAGGGAGGAAATTCTAATTTGGTTAGCTTGGGGAAAAGTATAATTTAGGCCATGCAGCATTTATAGCTGTACAGAACACTGCCCTACATTTAAACTGTAAAACATTTCAGAACCTCGGCAGTGGTGGGAGCTACTAGACTCCAACTGGGGAGGTCGATGGCAGGAGTCTCCCATGGCTGTGTCTCCCTCCATCCTTAAGATGCCAGGCCTTTATTCTATCAGGAAGACCTTCCTTTTGCCCACCTTTAGTATCTTTTCCATTTCCTATTATTTTTGCCCACCAAGCAGAGAATATTGATTACTTTCCCCTTTATAATGCACATTTCAGTAGAAGACAATTTCTATCCTCTCCTGTAGTTTAAGCAACTGTTTTCTTCACAGAGATAAAGAAGCAACTCAATACCTGATATATCAAGGCACCAGAACATCTGGGAGACCCAAATTGAGTTTCCATTTCCCGCCCTGCCTGTGACCCCCAGTGACTACTTTTAACAGTGCATGCTACCAACTGTCTATTCTGTCTCCAAATACACTAGTCTCCCCTATCCCTATCTTGGAGACTCTATTCCCTTTCTCCAAACCCCAGCCCCTGGTCCATTCTCTGGAGCATTTGAACTTAGTTGCTCCTACCACCCAACCTTCATTCATGTGCATGACCCTTTTCTGCAATTGTTCAGAGGGGTTGAAAGAAACTATAAATAGGGCCTACTTACCAATCCACTTATCTGTTTTGGACCAAGAAAGATCATCCTTGGTGCTGTCATAGTAACCAATCTTCTTATAGCTGCCACCTGGGCAGATGACAACAGAAGGAGTGACCATGGGTAGGTGAAGAGCCAATGCTGGGCATTCCCAACTTTCCACTTCCCTAAAGTAGCTTTCTGTGGTTGTATCTGACTTTCTCTTCACCTGAGTCCCTGAAAGATACTTGGAAGGACCTGGGGGGTCACGTGAATAAGTAACCTGACTTAAAAGTAGTGTAAGGTGGGTCCCACAGACCAATCGTATATGTGCAAAGCCCTGCAGCAAAGAAGGTTCCACAATGTGTCTGCCACTCATTCCACAGCCCATACCTCTCTTAGCAAGGTGTCTCTCACTTTGATTCTAGTTTTAAAGCTTTAATTATTTGTTTATTCTTCTTCCCACGATAGACAGAATCATAGAATCTATTTTCCCAGTGGCTTTCATTTTAATTTTATAAATTTATTTTATGTTGGTTGGCTTGGGTTCTAATTTCTTAAATAAGTTGTAAGTAAAATTCAGTCACTTCTAAGATTTCTGTTCCAAAACTGTACCTGTTACCCTAACTTTTCCATCAAAAGCCAACTCATATCCCCTTTACCACGGCTGAAGTCCATTCCCTCTTGTCCCGGATACAAAGGAGAACTGAAAGAAGGTGGGAGGTGGAGGAGGAAAGAAACTTTTCACAGGAAGCCAAGAAACAGCTCTCTTGGCCATGCTATGAGGCTGAATGGGGTGGAGTTGAAAAATTAACTCATAGTTTTTCAAATATATAACTGTGCTACATTATAAGAAAATACAACCTTGAAAAGACAAACTATCCATACCACAGAAATATTAAGAATGCTTACTCACATAGCAAGAAAATTCTATAAATTCCCTTTAAAAATAGCAGATTTCCTAGATTCAGCTTTCCTTGAGTGCATGGGTATGCAAGTAACAGGTCATTAGAGCCCCAATCCAAGCTACCAAAAGGAAATTTCTTTAATTAAAATCAAAGCCAGATCTGGCTGGTGTGGCTCAGTGGGTTGAGTGCTAGCCTGTGAACCAAAGGGTTGCTGGTTCGATTCCCAGTCAGGGCACATGCCTGGGTTGCAGGCCAGGTCCCCAGTAGGGGGCATGCAAAAGGCAACTACACACTGATATTCCTCTTCCTCTTTCTCCCTCCCTTCCCCTCTCTCTAAAAATAAATTCTTAAAAAGAAAAAAATCAAAGCCAATGAGGAAACAGAGACTGTTTCCAAAGTTCATGCCACTTTTCAAGAACATAACAACTGCTACTCAAAGAAATCCATCCACATATGAGCTGTTTTTACTGTTGTTATTATATTATTATCATTATTAAAGCTTGATGAACACAGTTAAAAGAGAAGGGCAGGAGACAGGGAGGTACCCAGGCTGTCTCATGATACCACCAGGTGTCCTAGCCCAGCCCTAGCTGGCCACCATGACCCCACCCCATTTCCTCATGGCCCCATACTCACCCTGAAGCTGCTCAATTAGTGTCCATGCCATCCGAGAGCCACTGGCATCAAATACCACATGGCCCTGAGGGAGAACATGAGGAGGAAGACAAAAAGGACAAAGGCAAGAGTGAGAGAACATCAAAGACTCTGAATCCTCAGGCTTTTTATGTTAATTGAGTTTCTGAATGAATACTATTTATGGCATTTCCCTGCATATAGGACATGCCCCAGATACCCATACCCTAGATTTCAGAAACTATCCTTTAGAGAAGCTTCATCCATGAGATGGGAATGGGAGAAATCCTCAGATAGAGAGAGCACCAGGAGACCTGGCTTCTGCTGTGTGACCTAAGCAAGTCATCAAATCCCTCTGGATGCTAATTTCCCCACTTTAAAAGGAATAGGAGATGATCTGTTTCCTCTTTTAAAATCCTATGATTCTTATCTGACTCATCAATATCTGGACTGAAAAGAAATGAGGGACAGGACTGAAAGAAATACAAGAGACTAATTTTTTCCCCTTCTAGTCCCTGGTGTGTTTTCTGGTTTGGGGGTTCCTACTTCCTTGGTCTGAGACCAATTATTATAGGGAGGTAACAGAGAGACATAGAACACGTGATTCCAAAAGAGGGTGTCTCTTTCTCAATAGGAGGATAGAAGAGTGTGAAGAAGTCCCTAGAACTCACAGAGACACCCTCAAAGGACGAAGAGTTCATTGCCCGGTAGATTTGGTCGGTAATGGTCTGGTTGTTGTAGTTGAAGTCTTCCAGTCTCACACCTGAACGGCCATCCCCTCCAGATGTCTTGTTCAGAGCCAGTGCCAAGGCCCAGATGGCATCATAAGCCAGCGGTGCCTCCTGGAAGCCACCTGTCTCCTCAGGATGTCTTTTCAGTCGCTTGGTCAGTTTTTCCACAAACTCCTGGGATGTCTGAGGAGGAAACAATCAGAGTGTGAGAGGGAATCAGGGGCAAGTGGCATCTAATTCTGGTTCTGACACTTTGACTTGAATAGATTGTTTAAGTTCATGTTGTCATGTTGAGCACATGTACGTTTAAAATCTTTAACTACGAGTATGCCCAAGTGTCTGTCTTCTATGAGAAGCTATACTAGACTAGAGTAGGGATTAGCTGGGTTCACTGGTATTAGTGTGCATAGCTGCTCACTCAGCATTGGAGTTGTTTAATGAATAGACACTTTGCATAATAAATGGCAAAGGACAGAAAGCAGAGAGAGAGAAAAGCAAGAGAAGGGATATTTCACTGAAAAGTTGTAACATTGTGCTTTCATTCAGACTTTCCCAATAGAACTGACCCAGGACCAAACAGCTCCTCCAATTCTGAAAGATCTTAGAAAAGGTAGCACCGAACCTTCCTCCTCTACTTGTCAGCCTGGAAGATTTTTCTTTAGCATGCTGACTTTTCACCATCCTCCTTTTCACCTTGTGTTTAGCATCGATCCTTTTCACCATGTGTTTTCAGTTCACTGACTCTTAGATGGTTTTCAGAAGACTGAGTACTGTGGAAATAACCCTAACATTTTTAAAGCCTATTATTCAATCCCTACCCACACCACTTGCTTCCAACCTTCAATTTTCTTTTTCCAAGAAAGCTAAATAGAATGACAGCTCCTTTAACACTCTCATGAAATAGGTCAAGAGACCTGACTTTCTATACTTGGCAGTCACCTTGCTTAGCTAAATGACCGTAGGCAAATTGCTTTAAGTTTTTGGAAATGTCTTTTATAATAGAGAAAATCATACTTGACCTTCCTTACCTCCCAGAAACCACATACAGAAAGGCTCAGTGGCCACCTCTTGGCAAGGCACAAGTAAGACACAGGCACTACACATTCTATTTAGATTTGGAATATATTAACACACACACACTCTACGGAAGAAATGAAGAAGTGAATGAAGAATAGATAAAAATCTCCATTCCCCATGCCCTGCTCACTTTTCTTTCTAATCAACTTTCTGGAGACACAAAGGAGTATAAAGTTCAAAGGACAGACAGCCCTGCTGCAATGGAAACAGCTTGGGCTTTGAAGACAGACAGGTCTGTGCTGTACTCTCCTTGCGGACAGGATCAAGCTCTACTCCTCTCTTTAGCCTCAGAACCCAGCATTATGCCCAGCCCATAAAGAAAGTCCATTGGATTGGGGCAGTGAAAATACTCTGCATGATACTATAATGATGGATACACACACACACACACACACACACATAGTCTGTTCAGAAGGTATCCAGCCATGTAATATGAAAAATAGAGATATTTATTGAAGAAGATACAAGGCACATTGTACATAGGACAATGATACCTCAGTCCCCTTCAAAGTAGGCACCTTGGGACCTCACACAATTCTCCCAATCGCCATCAGCTGCCCGGTCATATTTTCCTGAATCTCATCAACAATCTGAAATCTCTTTCCTTTCAAAGGTGACTTTAGTTTTGGGAAAAGCTAGAAGTTTCAGGGCACCAAATCTGGGCTCTAGGGGTGCTGAGTTACCTGGGTGATTTGATGTTTTGCCAAAAAACTCGGCACAAGATATGATACATGTGTGGGTGTGCTGTCATGATGAAGCTGCCAATCACCAGCTGCCCATAACTGGCCTTCTGAATCATCTGAATAGTTTCCATGGAGGAATGTTCAAGCTTAATGCAAAATATGATGCAGATTCGTTGCTCTATTCACTCAGTCACTTTGAATGTGATGGCCACACAGTACACATGGTCACTCAACAGTATCTACTGCTCCCACTAAGTAGTACAGTGAAGTCGTCATTATTCATGCATGCACATTCCACTCCACTCCCCTTGGCTACTAGGTTATATCAATGTGGCACAAGCCACTCTCATTATATTAACAATGGCAGGACTTTTTCCAGACAGACTCTAAATATATATATCAGAATGTATAACTCTAGAGGCTTCCAGCCACGACAGAGGAGTAGGTAGATATGCTTGGCTTCCTCATACAACCAAAAGAAGGATACCAACCAACTTAAAAACAAAATACAAGAACTGCCAGAAAATCGAACTGTATGGAAGTCCAACAACCAAGGAGTTCAAGAAGGAACATTCACACAAACTGGTAGGAGGGGAGGAGATGGGCACTGGGGCAACAAGGATGTACAACAAGGCAGAGGCTGGCAGACCAAAGTGGGCAAGGCAGCAGCTGGTGGACTGGAATATCCCACATTCGCATGTGGATAAGCCAGGAGGAATAACTGGGGAGCGAGACAGACTGTGCAATCCATGGTTCCAGCATGGGAAATTAAAGCCTCAAAACCTCTCATGGAAAAAACCTGTGGGGGTTGCACTGGTGGTGGGAGAAACTCCCAGTCTCACAGAAGAGTCCGTAGGAGAGGCCCGTGAGATCCTAGAATGTGCACAAGCCCACCCACCCATGAATCAGCACTTGAAAGGGCACAGCCTGCTTGTAGAAAGCGAGAGAAGTGACCGAAAGTGGGCGGGAGCCAAGCAAGCAGCATTGTTCCCTCCTTGACCCCTCTTCCACATACTGCACCACAACACAGAGAAGTGGGTTGCCCTACCCTGCTGAATACATAAAGCTCTGCCCCATACAACATAACAGGTGTACAAAGACAAAGAAATATGGCCCAAGTGAAAAAACAGATCAAAACTCCAGAAAAAGAACTAAGCAACGAGGAGATAGCCAACCTACCAGATGCAGAATTCAAAACACTGGTAATCAGAATGCTCACAGAAATGACTAAGCACACAGCCACAAAATAAAAGGAGAAGTGAAGGCTATATAAAGTGAAATAAAGAAAAATATACAGGGAAGCACCAGAGAAGGGAAAGAAATCAAGACTCAAATCAACAATTTGGAACAAAAAGAAGAAATAAACATTCAATCAGAACAGCCTGAAGAAACAAGTATTTTCAAAAATAAGGAGCAGCTCAGGGACCTCTGGGACATTTTAAACATTCCAACATATGAATCATAGGGGTGCCGGAAGGAGAAGAGGAAGAGCAAAAAATTGAAAACTTATTTGAAAAAGAATGAATGAAAATGTCCTCAATCTGGTGAAGGAAATAGACATTCAAGTCCAGGAAGCTCAGAAAATACCAAAGAAGTTGAATCCAAGAGAAACATGCCACATCACAATTAAATTACCCAAGACTAAAGATAAGGACAGAATCTTATAAGCAGGAAGAGGAAAGAGGACAGTTACCTACAAAGGAGTTCCCATAAGACTATCAGCTGATTTCTCAAAATACACCCTACAGGCAAGAAGGGGCTGGAAACAAGTATTCAAAGTTATGAAAGGCAAGGACCTACACCCAAGATTACTCTATACAGTGAAGCTATCATTTAGAATGGAAGGGCAGATAAAGTGCTTCCCAGAAAAGGTAAAGTTAAACGAGTTCATCATCACCAGCCCTTATGTGAAATGTTAAAGGGACTTATCTAAGACAAAGATCAAAAACTATGAACGGTAAAATGACAACAAACTCACAACTATCAACAACTGAACCTAAAAACAATACCAAAAAATAACTAAGCAAACAACTAGAACAGAAACAGAATCACAGAAATAGAGATCACATGGAAAGTTATCAGCAGGGAGGGGGAGGGAGGAGAATGGGGGGAAAAGGTACAAGGACTAAGGAGTATAATTGGTAGGTACAAAATAGATGGGGGGAGGTTAAGAATAATATAGGAAATGGAGAAGCCAAGGAACTTATATATATGACCCATGGAAAGCTGGAGGGAGGTGTGGTGCAGAGCAGAGGGGGAGAAAGGAGAGAAAAAAATGGGACAGCTGTAATAGCATAATCAATAAAATGTACTTAAAAAAAAGGCACGTATAACTCCAAGAATGAGCCCTCATGTAAACTATGGGTGATAATGATGTGTCAATGTAGGTTCATCAATTGTGACCACTCTGGGGAATGTTGATAATGGAGGAATCTATACATGTATAAGGGCGGGGGGGTCATAGGGAAATCTCTGCACCTTCCTCTCAATTTTGCTGTGAACTTAAGCTGCTTAAAATAAAAATAAAGTATCTTTTCAATGTTCATTGGATGCATAAATATAGGTGGATGAATTCAAATTCTACCTAATCCATTTACCTGCTATTAATCTCAAACAAGTCACTAAACCTTAGTAGTTGGTTATTCAGCTTTAAAATGGGATTAATACCACCTTGAAAAGTTATTACAAGATGAAATAATACATATAAAAAATACTGAGTATGAAATAATTTTTGTGAATTCACATCTTTGTGAATTTTTTTCTCTTAACTTCATCTCTGACACTCTTACTCAGCTCTATAATCCAGCTTGGTGAGATGATCAATGATCTCAAATTAAAAATATCTAAGTCTAAGCTCATTTCTCCTCACTCCCCAACATTTCCCAGTACACAAGAATAAATTCTTAGAATCACCTCCAGAGGTGTCCAACCTGTTGCCCATGGGCCACATGCAGCTCAGGATGGCTTTTAATGTGGCCCAACCCAAAACCATAAATTCACTTAAAACACTATGAGATTTTTTTGTGATCACATGTCACAATGTATTTAATGTGTGGCTCAAGACAACTGTTCTTCCAGTGTGGCCCAGAGATGCCAAAAGGTTAGACATCTCTGTAGGTTTACATTCTTTCAAATCACCAAGTTCTCTTAATTCTTTTGTTGAACTGTCTCAGTAATATCTTCCCTCCCTACTAACATTTATATTGTTCATACAATGTACCAGGCACTTTCTTAAGGTACATATATAAACTTATTTAATCATTAATCTAATGAGGTTTATGGCCCATTTTAGAGATAAGGAAACTGAGGCCCAGAAAAGTTCAACTTGTCTGAAGTTGTACTGCTAGTGCATAGCAGGATTCAAACCCAGGCAGCCTGGCATCAAAGTGCCTACTCTTCCTAACCGCTCTACACTGCCTCTGTAGGCTGAAATGCCTCTCTCCTAGAGCACCTACTGAGCAGGCAGCAGTTAGGCTGAGGCTTTTCTTTCTCTTTTGTAATTTTTTTTTAAACTGATTTTTTTTTAAGAGAGAGGAGGGGGAGGGAAAGAGAGAGAGACATGAATTTGTTATTCTACTTCTTTACACATTCATTGGTTGATTCTCGTATGTGCCCTCATCAAACCAAGTTGGTGTATCAGGACAATGCTCTAACCAAGTGAGCTACCTGGCCAGGGCAAGCTGAGGCTTTCTGAGTAGTCCTTCAGCCTCCGACTCTAACAATCTGCACTTCCAAGTAAATACTACATCAGAAAATCACCCAATAGGGAGGGACTCGTTTGCTCTGCATGATGCTACCTTCACATCCTGCTGGCTCCAGGTCACTACCAGTAACACACTTGGCCCTGGTAGCACCACTGACCCCCACATAACTATAGTTACCAAAAACATCTCTCCCCCTTGGGCTGTCAAAGATAGAACCGTCAATTTTCAAATGGAAATGTTACTAGGCAGCTTAAGAAAAACAGAACAATAAAAATTCCATAATCCATAGAAATTAGTGAAGTAAGTGCGAATTTATGATACTAATTTTTTCACAGCCATGTCTGGCTGTTTCTGTATGTGAGAATGAATGCTCGACAGTGATCTAAAATATGTACTCTGAGGTATGTTTTTATTTTATGTTGTCCCCAGATCTGATGGGACCTGTATCCAATCATAATTTACTCATTTTACTCAAAGTTTTACCCCTACCACCTACCTGCCCCTCTAGCCCAGAGCTATAACCTTTCTCCAGAGCCCCTCTGGCTCACTTTCCACATCTAACTCCTAAAGACACTTTCTCTAAGCCAGGGTTTCTCAGTCTCTGCATTACTGACATGTGGAACAGAAGAACTCTTTGTTGTGGGGGACTGCCTGGTACATTGTAGGATGTTTTAGAAGGATCCCTGGCTGACCCATTAGAGTGTAGATGTGACAACCAAAATTGTCCCTAGATATTGCAACTCCTGGTTGAAAACCACTGCTCTAACCAACAGTCCTCAAAATGTAGTCTCCAAAACAGAAGCATCAATATCCCCAGGGAACTTGTCAGAAATGTAACCCTAACCCCAGGCCTATCCCTGAATCAGAGCTTCCAAGTAAAAAGGCCAGTAGTCTGTATATTAATTAACCTTCCAGGTGATTCTAATGGAAGCTAAACTTTCATAACTATTAATCTAAATTTAAGATTAATAAAATTAATCTTAATTTAAGTTTACGTAGAGTAAAGGCAACTCTGCTTCTTTTCTAAATCATCATGGCTCTGGGCCCCTAAGACCAACCCTTGCTTCTGATCCGCTTTCTTGGTCCTATAATCTCTCCCCTAGTTAGTTAGTTAAGGTTGCTTCTACCCTCTGGTAAATCTTGGCTTCTGCCCCAGGTGTTTTAGACTACTGAGCTTGCCTGGTGTCACTAGAAGCCCTATGAGTTGAAAGGCAAGCACCACCTTTTTCCAGAGACCAAAAGCCAGAAGGAATCCTCCATCCAATTCATTCTGCCCAAATGTCCCTTCATATCCCTAACCACATTCCTGCTTCCTGTGAGAAGCCACAACTGGAAGGTCCCAGGCTCAGGGCACCAATAAGCCTTTTAAACTTCAGTTACCAGCTTTTCCACTTTCCCAGGTTCTCAAGGATGACTCATCAGAAGTGACCTTCCAGAATTTTTCCAACTTATTTTCAACCAAGATATCTCACATATAGAGTCCCTTAGAATGTCCCAGGACAGAGCCCATAGGGCAAACGACTGACCCTTCCATCACAACACACTGCCAGAATAAACTTCCTGAATCTTCTTTCTTTTTTGTTCACAAACTGCCACCACCTAAAGAGTATATTAGCCAATAAAAGTAAACACTTTTTAGTAAGATTTGATGGTTTCCCATGGAAGGTGATGGGAGCAGAGTGGTTTGGACTCTGATTCAGTTAAGACTCAGTCCCAGCCTGACCACTCAGTAATACAGGTAAGTCTCTTAACCTTTCTGAGTTTCAGCTTCCTGGTCTATAAAATGGAAATGGAAAATCTACATCAGAGTATTGCTGTGAGGATCACTGAAATTATGTATGCAAGCTCCTGGTTTACTACACAAAAGCAATTATTACTACAACTTTGTTTTAATGAGATATTTTGGGGGGCTTTATAACTATTAGCTCACCCCTAGCAGTCTGTCCTAAGCTTGGACACTTGGGGCTGCCCTTGGTATAATGAACAGACACACAAGTAGCCCTATCCAGTTCACCCAAGATTCTGTATTCCTTAAGATGTAATGTCTCTTCCCCTCACAGCCTACTCACTTGTGCCCTACACCTGCAGGGATGCCTCAGCCTTCCCAAATCAGAGGATGTGCCTTCTAGCTCTAGGTCTGTCACTAACCAGCTATCTGGAGCTAAACAGTTTCAAAAGTCCCCTTTACATCTAAAATTATAAGAAGATCATTTAAATAGCATCAGGAGCCAAGCTAATTGAGCATCAACCAGAAGTGAATATAAAGCACCTTGTCTAGGTAACTCAGTTGTTTAAAGCACCATCCCACTATGCCAAGGTTGCAGGTTCAATCCCCAGTCAGAGTCCATAAATAAGTAAAAAGCCAAATTGATAAACATCTCTCTCTCTCTCTCTCTTCCCCTCTCTTTCTCAAATCAATTAAAAAAAATTTTTTTAAAGATGTGAATATAGCCCTAGCTGGTGCGACTCAGTGGATTGGGTACTGGACTGCGAACCAAAGTGTTGCCGGTTTGATTCCCAGTCAGGGCACATGCCTGGGTTGCAGGCCAGGTCCCCAGCAGGAGGCATGTGAAATGCAACCACACACTGATATTTCTCTCCCTCTTATTTCCCCTCTCTTCCCTTCTCTAAAAATAAATAAATAAAATTTTTAAAAATAAAATAAAATAAGTGAATATAAAGCAACTAAAGTCACCAAGAAAATAAAATGTATTTCTGCCCCGGAACAGTGCTCCTCTCAGTGTGCTTGCGTATATAGCATCTATTGATAAATTATCATTAACACTTCTCCCCCATTTCATTTCTTGCCAACTGCTCCTCATTTCCATGAACAGCCCTTCTGCTCATTGAGCCACTCTGATCTCCTCTCTCTTCCCTGCCCAAGAAAGACAGAGCAGAAGCATCGTATTTCACAGGAAATACGATGCAAAAAGACGTTCAAAGTGGGCAGAGGCCCCTTGCCCCCCTGTACCTCCAAACTCCACACCTGCTCCGCTCCCCTTTAAGGCTCTCTCAGTCCTCCCTACCTGCCCAAGTGCCAGCTTCTAAGTCCCCACAATCTCACCATGTTGGAAATGCTGCGGGTATTGGCAGGGTTCAGCATGACAATCTCAGTGGTGATGTGACCCTCCACTGCCTCAGTCATCTCATCCACTGTGCAGTTGATGGAAGGGTCATAGGTCTTGAACCAATTGTCAGCATACCACCCGATGAGGAACCAGACATACTTCTTTCCAAAGAGCCTCTCCTTGTACACCTAAATACAAAGAAGGAGAGGGCTGAGTCTTTGTTTCATTTTTTTTCTTACCTCACTTGCCACTATACAGTCTCTTGGGAATCAAAGAAGAGCAGAGAACAGAAAAGAGAAATCTACAAGTCTTGGTGGGGTGGTAGGAAAGGCTCTATTACTCCTCCTAAATTCCTCCTTAGCTTCTATTTTCAAGTGGACTTTTCCAGCCTGTATGGAAAGATGGGATCCATAGGCTCCTCTGGAAACTCAAAGTGGTAAGAAAGCGACATCCATGTCATGAGTGTGAGAAGTCAAGAGATGGGAGTCAAAGCTGACAGACGGGAACATCGTATTTATCATCACCTCAGATCATTTGCTATCAACTTCAGCAGAGATGCGGAGAGAGATCCTATGAGACACCCAAGGCAAAGAGCCTGCCCAGTCCCCCTCCCTCTTCAGATTCCAACTCCACCTCACAGAACACTTTGCGGGCTTCAGTCTCATAAAAAAGTCCCACGATGATTCGGGCATCCTGGCGCTATAGAATGAAGAGAGAAACAATGCTAAGTGCATCTAAAACACCAGAGGGGTGAAGCCAAGCCCCCTTACAGCTGTGATTTTCTGACCCGAAGTGTTTAGTGCACAGTTCTATTCAATAGGTGGTGGATGTCAACTGGAAGATGGAGATAAACTTCCCCAGGAGATGTTACTGTCTCACAGAATCAAAATTTATGCCTGTCATGGGGGAGTTAGCCAAGATGGTGGCAATTACATTGTAATCTAAAAGTGTATCAGATTAACATGTATGCCTTAAGCTTACACAATGTTATATGTCAATTATATCTCACTTTAAAAACAAAAAAAGCAACATTCCCCAACTTGACTCTCCTCTCCAACCCACCACTGTCATCCTGCCATTCCCAGCCATCCCACCTTAAGGTTTTTGACAGGCACAGCTGGGTCTGAGAAGAAACTCTGGCGGAAAGTAATCTCAATTCCAGCCTCTTTCACTCGTTCCTCTAGATCGTCCAGAGTCTTGAGGGGGAATGAGAAATAGAGAAAAGATGGGGTGCACAGTGGGCAAATACCAGAGATCTTACCTGCAATTGCACAGTCAACAAAGGAACAGCAGCAGTGTGAACCTTCCTCCTTCAGCGCCCTCTGTTAAGGAGTACTCAAAGGAAAGCATCTGGAGTCTCAGGATATAGCTCCCAAGTGAGGAGGTGCATGGGGAACCCTCCTAAGCTTCTGTGTCCAGACAAGTCACACCCACTCACCCCCTCTTACCACTGACAGCAAAAGTAGGGGAGAAGAAAACAGAGGAACCAGGGAAAGACAAGAAAGCATCTAATATAGACAAGATGATGTCACTCTCAAGAGGCAAGTGAGCAGACAGACAAAAGAATCAGAGAAGAATGTCTTGCATCACTAAGGGAAAGTGTGGGGGTGGGGAAGGATTAAAGGACCACTGAACGTAAGAGTGAATAGAGGATTCAAATAGACTTAAGAGAGGAAGCCAGCTGTCTCCTTCAGGTAGACCATGTATTTCCTCTCTACTTCCACCTCACCTTGTTTGTCAGCATCTCGCTGAGTCAGCTACTGACCCATGTTCACATGTTTGTCTTTTCACCCGTTGCCTCTTTCTCTCTCTCTCCCTTTCCTGCACTCTCTACATGACTCTGTCTCCACATCTTTCTCTCCCTCTCTCCTCCCTCTCTGTGCCTGTACCCACTTCCATAGCTCCATCCTGCTATTCCCATTCATACCCACCCACGACCTCCATGAACACCTCTAGAATCTGCTACCTGGGTTCTTAATCACATACTCTCTCCCTTACTGTGTTCTGACTTTGGAGTGAACCTACTTTAATAGAACTGGGTCATTTAGGGACTATCGGTCTGGGGAACAAAGTATCCAAGGGGGGGGGAAAGCCCTAAAACCAAAAAGTAGGAGAGGATCCTGAAAATTAAACTTGTTCGTTCCTCTGGCTATAGAAAGAACATGCACTTAATTCCCTTGGAATGTGTTTTCTTGTGACAAAGAATCAAGATCTTCCCACCAAAATGGATTCCATGTCACATCTCTCTGCACTGGAGTTGGAGTGAATGCCCGTTTACCCAAGTCCTCCTCACCGACGTGAAGACTTCGGTGGTCTGCTGGATGGTGGCGATCTTCTTCCAGCCCCATTTTTCAAAAAGTTTCACACGGGTAGGATTGTGCAACGTGGCTGATGGATGAGTTCGAAAGAATGTGGGGAAGCGCTGCCGGTTTGACAGGGCTGGTGAGCTGGAGCCATAGGAAAGCTATGAAGGACAGGAATAGGACAACAGGGTACGTCATCTGAGGACTCCACCAAGAACTGCCAAGAGAGCTCCCAACCTTGCCCACTCTCTTCAAGTGCCTCTGCTTCTGCCCAAGGAAACGATTCTCAAAGGCACACACACCCTCATAATCTGGATGCTCCTTCCCTGATCTGACTACATTTCCTTCTGGTGGCTGCAGCACAGTCAGACCACTGTTGCTAGGAGGTCAATAAGTTCTGGTCTGCAAAGGGCTCCGAATCTTGGAAGCTGTCCTCTTAAATACACCCAAAAGAGAATGGCCTGCCTTCTGACCCCCAAGCCCCACTTACCACAATCAGGTTCCACATTCTGGCAGCCTCAGCCACGAGCGTGGAGACAGAACTGCAGCCAGGCATAAGAATGATCTTGATGGGGTCATTGTAGAGCAACTCATACAGGTACTTGGTAGCTTGACCTGGGTCACACTAAATGGGGTGTGGGGAGAGGTAGGCTCTCCTGGGGCTCCTCTCATCCCTGTAACTCTCTCTTTTATTTTTCCCACAAAACCTAGTTACTTCCCCCAAATACCCATCCCTCCGCTGATACCCTTTTGTCATTATTGCCATGTTCCTCTCCTTCCTAGCATCTCTTCCTGTCTTCTCAGTCCCCCGCACCTGTTAAATATCCTCTCTGTCCCCCAGTTGGTGCTAACCCATACATACCTTCTCCTCCACACCCCATGGTCAGTATAAATACATGTACCTCTTCCCTCCTTCTAGCTCATCCAGATATCCCTACCACCTTCCCTCCATCACTCCTACTCCTTACTCTGTTTCAATGCTCCAAACATCTCTGGATAGAAGAGTCTGCAGAAATATGAATAAACTCTCCCCAAGTCCCCAGACAGCTCCTCAAAGCCAGTTAAGGAAAATTCCTCCCTCACCTCTGGAAACTCCCTCTCCCCACCTTCCTTTTTTCTCTCCCTCTTCTGCTTAGGGGCTAGTGATAAACAAGACAGAACAGGAATGAGTCCACTAGGGAGTCCAGCTCAGCATCCATCCCCTCCTGCTGGGTCCTGACATTTGATGGATCCATTAGAAAAAGAGACACTCAAGGGTGGGGGAAGAAACAAGGATGAGGGAAGAACCAGGGAGAATAAGTAGAATGATGCTCAAGAAATTAGATACTTTCAGGGGTGCTCAAAGAGATGGGAAAGTGGTCAATGCAGACAGCTAGAGAGGAAGGGAATGCTGGGAGGAGGGGATGTAGGGGAGGAAGAGCCATGGGTCTCCAACTGCCTGTTGCCCTCCTGCTGAAAGATGACATTTCAGAAGCTGCTGGAGCCCCAAAGGAAGTGGAGAAGAAATGGAATCCAGTGGGGTCCCAGAGGGGACACAGAAAGGAGACACAGGGAACTGGGGAAGGTGAAATGGGAGGGCAAGTTGCAAGGAAATAAAGAAGGCCCCTTAGCATCTGCTCACTTCCCACTGAGCCCTGACATTTGGGGCACCATGGGAAGTTGGAGAAAGTAGAGTCAGGGAGGCTGGCAGAGTTTGAAGAACCACCATGAACCCAGAACTCTGCTGCCTACCTGTCCCCACTGCAAAAGGCAGTGCTGAATGGCTGCTTTTTTTAGGTTCCCCATCTCCCCTACTTGGGCATCTTTGTGTACCTTTATATTCTCAGGTCCCACCTGCTTGCCCTCTCCCAGCATCTGTTACTCCAGATCCTACCCCAGCTTCCCTCAAGGCCCCTCAATGCCCCTCCCTTTCTTCCCTGAAGAAAAGGTGGTTAGGAACAATGAGGACATATAAGAACATATATAAGATACATACAAACAGGGCAATATATGCTCCCCAATGTCTCTTCCTTTGTGACTGCATCCCTCCCTACCTTTTCTCACATCCCTTTCCTCTTCCACACCCAATGCATTCCTGCAGTCTTCCTCTACCTTGGGATTCTCACCCCTCCCTAATAACATCTCCTCTGTCCTCCCTCTCTCCTGTTCTTGCAAGGATCCAGATTTGCAGGCAGGAAATGACACATTCCAGTTTGCGTGCCTTTCCATCGCCCCCTTGCGCCTCCATCTCCCTTCTCTCAGGTCCTCCATCTGCTCCCCAACACCTCCAGAGACTCACCTGTCATCATGGATGAGTCTAAGTTCCCTGTGATCTCTGATCACAAAGCTTACATCCATCCCTCTGTCTCTCCCTATAGTCCCACTCCCATAGCCAACTACTTCTCTTGCTCTCCTGGAGGACCCTTCGATTAGCTGACCCTCTTTCCTACTCTGCCTTTCCTGCCCTAAAACCAAACTCTCTTCCTGAGGTCTCCTACTTTTCCCATTAACATCTAAGGTTAGCTATATAGGTACCCATCAAGACAGATTTTTATTGGTAAAACTGCAGATCCTTGGGACTCATCCCTAACCAAGGAATTAGAATCTGTATATTTAACAAAGTCCTGTGGTGATTCTTACGTACACTGAAGTTTGAAAATCACTGTGAAAGTGTCAGAGACCTGAAGTTCCCTCTCCAAGCCCTTGTGCCCTCTTCTCCCTAAGCCCTCTTCCTTCAACCCCACTTCTGCCCCTCCTCCCTCACATACCTATTTCTAGATATAGATTACTGTTCTAAAGCATGAATATAAATCCTCAGTTCACCCAGAGATGAGGTCACCAAATCTTTTCTTCTGTACTTTATTTCAGTCTCCCCTAATCCCTTAAATCACTGGGATACAAGTCAGAGGAGATAAATGTGAGGTCCCAAATTTCCTTCCTCCCTGTATCACATCCTTCCCCATACTCTCAATTATTTAGGTAGGAGATAGGAGAGGGAAGGGAATCTTACAGGACCATCCCCTACTACATCTAGACCCAACTTTCCTTATCTTCCCCCTCCCTCTTCCTCACCTCTTTAACCCTATATCCCATTTCCCATCTCACATCTTAGAGGCTACAATACTAAGTTCCACAGGATGTGCCAGGATCTCTCATTGCTCAGCCTTCCTCCTTGTCTCCTGCCCCCTACACTGCCATCCCTTCCCAGTCCAGTTCTGCTGCCTGTATACTGATTCCTGTCGAGCCCCACACTATTGTGGGGGCTCCCAGGTGGGCCTTAATCCAATTCATTTTCCCAGTATCTCCGCCCATCCCTTCACCATTAATTAGCCTTCCCCCCAACCACATATGCTATATAGTCTTACAGTCCAGGAATTCTCCACAGGATTAGGGATGTGAAGTCAGGTGGGGCTCTCCGCTATCATGTTGTTTTTTTATGACAAATAAACTAGAGCTATCAAGTCCCTCAAAATGTTTCTCATTTGGTCCCTATTCCTTCCAGCTCAAAACTGATGCCAAGATTTACCTTGTTACCATGTTTACCACCATACAGTTACCATGTAAACCCCATACAGTTCCACACCTCTGACATTCCCTCCATCCCCCAACCCATCCCAGTTTTAGTTCACTCCCTAGAAGATCACGCTCTGCTTGTACCCTAAATCCATCACCAGCTTCCCCACACCCAAGCACTTCCGTGGGTCTCTGACAGCAGGAGTATCTACCATGCAATGTGGTTAACCATCTTGAACCTCCAGCCCCTGTGACTCTCAAGCTCCTGCACTCCCAGCACCTCTCCTGCTAGTCACACATGGGAGTGACTAGCATGGGAGGTCCACCTGTATATCCCAGAAGTGACTCAGACTGTGATGGCCTGGCCCCTGCTCCCCAACCCCCGCCCCCACCGTCCATTCCCATGTCCAGGGCTACCTTGCTGTCGTGGTGGATGAGCTTGAGCTCGTAGTCTGGCAGAATGTCCCTGCGGCTGTTCACATCCTCCAGCGCCATCTCCACCGCGGGCTGGCAGGCCTGGCCCCCTGGCCAGCCCCCGCTCATGGGAAACAGCGCCCCGATGTACACGGCGCGCCGATCTGAGGAGGGGTGCGAGGGGACCCGCGGGTGAGGCCGAGAGAGATGGGGGGAGTGGGAGGCCCACACCACCGGAGCCACCCCCACAGCTATCGCCACCAGGAGCTGCAGTGGCCACCCCACCCGGGTAGAAGCGTCCCCCGGACCCATGGCAGGGAGGGAGAGGGTAGGAGGTAGCTGCTTGGGGAGGGGAAGCTCAGGGGGGACACTTGTCCTGGGGAGGGCTGCTGAAGGGGTGTCGAGGAGGCCTCTCCATCCCTGGTTTAGTGGAGCGGTGGGTACTAGGGCCTCGAAGAAGCAGGAAAGATTGGCTTCCTAAGGCCCCCCACGGCCACTGCCGAAAACCGCGAGCCACCACGGACTCTCCTCGCGACTGACCCGCGGAGGGGAGGAGGGAGAGATGTGGGGCTGGAAGGGGGCTCTGACGTCACCGGAGACGTGGCGGGGATGGGGGCAGGAGTCGAGGAGGGAAAAGGGAGGCGGGGATAGAGATGAGCGCAACTGTGGGAACAACAGCCAGAGCAGAGGGGAGGGGAAGACAGGGAGACAGCGACACCTTGTCGAAAGAAATAGACAAGGAAGGAGCATTGGGGAAGGAAAAAAGAATGGGAGGGGCGTGCCAGGAGTGCGTGGCAAGGAGCCCTGGAAGGCTGGAGCTTGGAAGGGAGAGGAGTGGGTTAGGGAAGGAGGGGTGGGACACTGGAGGAAAGGGGCCAGGCTAGACCATCTCAATGGGGAAGCAAATAGATGGTGAACAGTGAGGGCTGGGAGGCGGAGGGCTATGGAAATGGTTTTGGAAAGAGATAGCTGGGTGGGGAAGAAGGTGCAAAGGAGAGTGACAAAGACAGAAGTAGGAAACAAGGTGCTGGGAAGCCGTGAAAGAGTGCTGGGAGAAGCACTGAGAGGGAAGGAACGAGTAAGGGAGGAGCTGAAGGAGGGAGATGAGGCTGGGCCAGGGATGAGAAAGGTGGAAGGACTGAGTCCTCAGGTGAAGTCCTAAGGAGGGGCGGGCAGGAACCCCAAAGGGAAAGACAACGGGGAAGCTCAGAGTATCACAGAATCCTGCAGCCCCCCTGCTGGGGTTTTGCCCTATGGCCTAAGCAGTCTAGGAGGAGGAGGCGCAGCGGGGAATCGCAGCCAGGCAGAGAGATGAGAGGGACCATGGCCTCGCCGAAAACCGGGACTAGAGGCAGGAAACAAGTAGGGAAAGAGGAGGACCAGCCGCAAACTGGAGTGGCTGGGGGAAGGTAGGAGAAGTACACTAGGGACAGAATCCCAGGGCTGGGGGGTATGAAGAGCAATGGGGCAGGTTATTACAGTGCAGGCAATAAGGGTTTCTCAGCTCACCTGAGTGTGGTGTTCGATTCACTGGCAGCAGGAAAGACGGGATCAAAGAAGAGTTACCACTGGCACCCAGCTTCCCTGGCCTCATCCCCAGCCCCCCTCCCACACTGTTCATGCCCAAGACAAGGGAGAGGGGGAGATTCTGCTGCCTTTCTGAGGGGAGGGTGTCTGGATAAGAGCAAGGGGGACTGTGGGTCAGGACTTCCTGGTTTTCTTCTTTTATTTTTCATAAAAGACAGCAGAATTTGAGACAGATATGCCAAGGGCTTATACATGGACAGATCCTGGTTTGTAGAGCCTAAATATTATAAAAGTGGGGGGCCTGTCTTTTAGAGAAAACAATTACAAATACAATTGGTTTTAAGCTATTGCTGTTAAAATATTTTACTTATGCAATTTTTATAAAATACCTATGACCATGTGAACACATTATTAGAGCCCTCTACATTATTAGAGCACAAGAAGAGGCCTATGTAACTGAGGAAATCTGAAGCTTAAATTTCATTCATTTCATAGTTAACCCACCCCTTGATGGGACTAATTTCCAGAATGGAATGATAAACTACATGCAGAATAATTAACTGAGAATCTGGGAATGTTGAAAGAGTCTACAAGGGTAGAGGAAGCAAAAGGTATGCCTGCATCCCAGGAGAAGAGGCTGCAGAGGGAAAATCTGGATGACCAAGAAAGGGGGAAATTTTCCAAACTAGATAGCAGAAAAGGTGATGGACATAAGACCAACTCCTTCGGGGAATGATGGAGGTTGTCTGGGAGGTTATAGAAGAGGGCTGACTCCCCCATCCCTGGGTTGTTCTTAATGTTCTGACAGTTCTGCCTGCCAGTTTTAAGCCTTTTAAATTTTATTTTGATAATTTGCTTTGATAATTTGAAAGAATGCCAGACATTCTTTCCCATCTTATTAACTTTTCTAAGTATGACATGATTTATTTCTAGGTCTGTATAATAATTCAGTTATACTATGAATGGAGAGGGATCAATTCTAGAAGGGGTTTATGCATAGGAAGTTCTAAGTTTAGACAAAGGGAGTAAGGCTAGGGAAAACTGGAGTATTTAAATCTTACAAAGGATGACGGGGGTGAGATTCATAATGGAAAAAAGAAAATGTGAGTCACAAGAACTATGAGCAGGGAGAAGATATAAAAAGATAAAGGTAAAGAAAGGAAGCCCCAACCCATCATAGGTAAAGCAGAAACTGAGGACTGCAGGAGGAAGTTTGAGGCAGATGGATGGAGGAAAGAGTTGGGCTTTCACTTCTGCCTCCCCAAAGCCCCAGTTTTGTATAGCACCCATACTCTCATCCATTACCAGCCCACTCTATGCTCTCATCAGCTGCATGCAGGCAGCTGTTCCCCTCACCCTGGCAGTGGGGCTTGGGGCTGCTCCACTGGCCCTGACTACAGACACTCCGGGAGCCGCCCACCAGATGGAAGTCAGGGTCACACCGAAAATCCACCCGGGCTCCGTCCAGGGCTGGGAGGTCCCCACCCGTCAGGAACACCTTCCCATTTTCCAGCATCAAATAGGACTTGGAGCAGATTCGGACTGTGGAGAGACAGGAAAATAGAGAAGCAGGTTGGAGAAGGCTCCTTCCCCTTGAGAGAGCAGGAGGCTCAGCTTTGGGTTCAGACCCACAAACATCCTACAGTGCAGGAAGTCCATTGTAAAAAGGATTGGCCTCTCAGCTTCCAGTCTTCCCTTAGCCATGGAAGCATCCACACATTCCCACAGGAAAAAAGGAAAAAGCATTGCCATGTAGGGACCCAAGATGGAGCTATAAGCACATAAAATGGCATCTCTTCAGTAGGCGGTTCTCTTGCTTTGAGATGGGTGGATGTATGTGACTTTAGATGCACAATCAGATTTGCCTTTCTAATTCTAGATGGCTTGTATTAATGTTAAACTGGATTCTGTTTCTTAGGTATGCAGTCTCTGCATTGGAGACAGGTATTCAGAAATGTGACGAAATCACCTTAGAATGTTTTTGCATAATCTGCCACTAATAATCCTCCAAGAAAATAACTCCCAAGATGAATAATCAGGTTATTTTATCAATGGCCGGTGGCATAATGAAGGAAGGATGAAATGAAATGTGCAGGCTGCTAACTTTACTGCCTCACTCTGCGCACAATTAAGTCCTTCTTACAATAAATGTCTTTGTGAATTTAGTTACACTGGATTTCAAGTGCTGACTTGCAAACAATAATGTTACATTTGAGAAAGGGAGAGGAATGGTCTTGAAGAAGGGACTTTGGGAGGCTACTCACCACAGCGACTGGGTGTGTCCATATCTGTCCAGGAGCCATTTGCCAGGCACTTTCGGACCTTGGGCCCCACCACCTCGCGCTCCCCCCGGCACACATATTCAATCTCATAGTCCACAGGCAGGAAGTTGATAGCCTTCACCTGGTCCCGAGTCAGGCCCCTGTACCTGATGCCCCCTTCCCAGGGCGGGTGTATGATCTGGCAACCTGAGGGGTGAGTAAGAAGGAGTAAAGAGAGGAACCGTGGTAAAAAATGAAAAGGCAGAGTTACTGGGCACAAACGCAGGAGAGCCTACGGAGTGGTCGATGGGCAGGTGGAGGACAGAGGGCATGGGGTGGGATGCTTGGAGAGTCCGAGTGTAGATGGGTACGGAACGGAACTCTGCTCAGAGCATAATGTTCTGCTCAGAGAACTCTGGACAGACAGTAATGAGCCAGAGTTAAGTCTAATTAAAGAGCCCACAAGTCAGGAGGAAAGGGAGCTGGTTAGGGGTAAGGAGAAAAGTAACTGAGAAGTCGTGGGAAAGGCTTAAAGAGGACATCTGAGCTGAATTAGGACGAAATGAGACGGGGGTCTTATAAGGCCACCTGGGAGAAACGTAGAACTAAGGGAGGGGTAGAACTGGGGTAGTAACGTGGGGCCAGAAAAGGGGTGTTGTTGAGAAAATAACACAGGGTCACAGAAAGGTGGAGAGTACTGATGTGGGGTGATAGAAAGGCAGTCAGGAGTAGTCCAGTGGGCTAAGCAAACAGGGTTGCCTGACGGTCGGGACAGGTATGAGGACCAGGAAAGGTGGAAGGATGCAGGAGGTCCCCGGAGAAGGATGCACCTTCTGAGGTGGCGTTGGGGGTCTGCGCCCCGCCCGCGCCCTGGGGGCTGAGGAAGAGCAGAGCCAGCAGCAGCAGCAACAACATCTGAGTGAGAGGCGGCTGTGAGGACCTCATCAAGCCCCGCCGGCACCACCCGGACCCGCAGGTAGCCTGGCCCCTCTACCGAAGCTCCCAGGCTCTGACCTGACTCTCCGACCGGACCCAGCACGGGTAGGAGGACGGAGCCCCGCGAGGGAGGCGGGGGCGGAGCCCCGGCGGGTGAGGGGAGAGGAGGAGAGAAAGCCTGTCCCCACCCTCCTCCAGCCTCCCTGGGCCCTCCACCCTCCCGGGACTCCACCTCTCACCACCTCCTATTCCCCATCCCCAGTAGCTCTGCGGCCGGGCTAACCCAGGTCCCCGACTGCCTCCTCGCCGCCCCTGCTCTCCCCCAGCCTCGGGTCCCCGGCTCGGCCCTCCCCGCGTCCCTCCCAGCCCCGCTCGGGGGCCCCGGCTCCTACCTCGGCGCTCTGGCCCATCTCCCTGGCTGTCCCCAGCCTCAAGGCCCCAGGCCCGACCGCTCCTTCCCGCTCTCCCTCCTCTCCCTTCCACCAATTCCCTCTTCCCGACCCTCCTACTAGAATCCCGGATCCAGCCCAGACGGCTCAGCCAGGGTCTCGGCCTCCTCTCTAGCTCTTCCCGACCCCACCCCGTCTCTCCTTCCCCGGGGCGGCGGCGGAGGCCCTGGGAGCTGGGAGCCGGGAGCCGGGAGCGAAGGAGGAGGCGCCGGGGACCCGGAAAGCTCCTGGGCGGAGGGACAGGGAGGGTGCGGTAGAAGACCGGGCGGGGTGGGGGGGGTGGGAGGGGGAAGAGCTGGGAAACAGAGGGGAGGGAGAGCGGGGGAGGGGAACGCTGCGGGGAAGGAGGGCCCCTCCCACTTCCCCAGCCCGGGAAGCCGCCCGGCCAGCGGCCCCCGGCCCCACCCCGCACCGCAGAGAGCGCGAGATGGAGGGCAGGGGGCGGTGGTGGAGCCGTGGGAACGCTAGTGCACGTGCGACCTACACGGGGACCCACAGCCGAGGCCGCTGGACGCTGCGGTGGGGGCGAGGAAAGCCGAGTCCAGGGCGCAGGAGCTGGCTCTGAGACAGGGAATCTAGAATGCAGGTGAAGAAAGACCGTTGCACAAAGAGAAGGCAGCACTGGATCTGGGTGAGAGGAGAAAGGCAGAGGCCAGGAGGAAAAGGAGACAGGTGGGAGAGGAAGGAGAAGCCAGGGTCAGACAGCGGAGAGGAGGGCAGGAGATGGGGTGAAGGCCCCGAGCCATCTTAGCGCCGACAGAAGTTAAGTGGGGAAGAGAAGCCGGGAGACCAGAGTGGCCCCACGGGTTCAGCAGCATTGATATTTATTTGCCTGCTTCGGGAAAGGAACGCGGGGAGAGGACTATCAAGGGGAGAAATTGAGATAGTAAGAGGTTAAAAAAAAAAAAGGCAAAGACAAAAGAGCCTCCAAGAAGTGGGCAGGAACCTGCATCATCTTCTGCAGTCCAACAGGGCCTGGCAATCAATCTTTATTCACTGAGGAGTAACTGGAAGCTCTGGAGACAGTGGGGGAAGGGCAGGCCTTTCGACATTTCTAGAGGCTCTTAGCTAGGTCTGGTGGTGGAAGGTGTATGTGTGTGAGCACGCGCGCGCGTTGCTTGTGTAGCTGTTGTTCAAGTGAGTGACTTTGGGAGACAGGGGTCTTCTTTTGCGGGGGTGGAGAACCCCACTTCTTTCTGGCTAGTCCTGGGAAAGAGGTGGGAGAAAGCCAGATACTGTGAGACTGATCAGAACTGAGATTCTCAATCCTCAACCTTTTTTATAACAAATATTTTGTAATGATTCCTTTATTATACTGATTTGAAATTCATAGACAATATAGCCTACCTACAAACAAGAACTTTAAAAGAACCAGCATCCTTCCCTGTCTATAACATAGAGGGAAGTGAAAAGTAATTTGTAGTTAAATAACATACACAATATTATTACATGTGAATGTTGAGGCCTGCCTGAACTAGAAGCTGGGATAAGCACGCAGCTGCTTGTAGTTATCCATAGAGCCATGGGGATGGAGCTGCTGCACACATCTACTAGAAGTGAGACTACTTCCAGCACGTTGCCATCAGTGAAGTGACTTAAAATGTTGAACAGCTCTCCTAGCAAAGTCAGTCTTCTCTAAATTTACACAGAACTGGAACTGCATTCCTAGGCAGTTCATTGTATATTAAAACTTTTTTTAAACTATTAAATTTTAGACTCATAATTAAGCACAGGTTTCACCTACATGAATTGTCCTATGGGACATTTGAGAATCTGGGTGAGGGACAATTCTTCATTATTCAGGCTACACTTTGAAGACTATCTTATACCCCTTCCCTACCCATGAATGCCAGTTGTGCCCTCCTCCATTGTCATAATTACAAAAAGAGAGCCTACGCATTTTCAAAATGTTCCTGAGGGACTGGTTGAGAACCACCCAACTACAAAAACAGACAGAAAAGGAGTAGAGTGGGGCAAGATTTCTAACCACTCAAAATGATAACCACCTCTCCTCTGAGTGGCCTGTCCTAGCAGGGCAGAGCCAAAATATGTGGGTTTCAACTAAAACAGTTATTGACACCAAAAAAATCATATGGATGAGTTTCTTAGAGTATTTTGGAAAGAAGTTTCCTGCCTTTGTCCCCCATCTACAGGCTAGTTCAGCTGCCTGGCCAGTGAGACACCCTCCCTCTGTGCTCCTATATGGTCCTGGTATGGCTGAGTGCTCAGAGGACACCCTTCCCAGACACAGAAGGGCTGGGGAGTATCTGAGTGGGGGCTATCCAGGCAACCTACAAACAAGTTCCCAAGGTCTTTCTTTCTGGCAACTTGTCTCTGGCTTCCCTGAAGTCCTGCCCAAAATGAGGGGGTGGGAGGACAGAAACCCCCCTGGAAAAGAGGAGTCTAGGACTCTAGGAAATTGAAAATTATCATGGTAATATCCATTACCACATTGTTGGTGCTAAACCAGAAAAGGAAATAACCTTAAGGTCCAAATCACAAATACCTGATTCAGTAAGTTAGAATACATCCATTCAAAGGAATAGATAAGAAAACATGTTTAAAGGAGTATCTTCCAATGATACTAACATTGAAAAAATGAGAATTTGAGGGAAAAGAGGACTCAAAATTCAAACTACTGTGGCATATATATGTTAAAAAGCTGGAAAAAAAATACATCAAAATGTTAGCAGAATTGCCTCTGTGGCCTAACATGGAAAACCATGCCTGTATTTTAGTGGGTGAGACAGGCCCTGCCCTGGCTTAGAGACCAACACCCATTCTGATGCAGCGAGGGGTGGGGGGGGTGGGGGGGGAAGCATAGAGCAGGTGGGAAGCAAGCTCTTGCTTCAGCAGCTAGAGTCAAGCAAGCATCTCCAGAGTTTTAACCTTCCTTCCCTGTCTTTCTGAGCTATCACTCTGAAATTGTAAGAGCTGGCATGACTAACATATACCTGTTTTCAGTATTTATTACACTTAGATAAGCACAAAAGCATAAGACCTTATTGGTGCATAATTTACAAAAAACTAACATTACCTCTCTTAATGCTTTCAACTGTTGTGTGGTACTATCTCCCTCATGATGAAAAAACTGCAGCGTAGGAAATTTAATTGCCCAAGGCCACACAATCAATAAGTAGAACTGGGTCTCAAACCCAGGTCGCAGGTCTCCTTCCCTCTCATTCACAATGCTCCAGCAATGCTGGCCAGACTGCGTTCTTTTAATTTTCTCAAATACTTTCAACTCTGGGACCAAGTACACCTAGCTCTCTTTACCTGGAGGTGTCCCCTTGAGCCTCCCAACCCCATGACATCTTTACCTCATTAACAGCTTGTCAACTCAGGGAAGCCCTCCTGAAATTCCTCAGACTAACCTAGACCCCACACCTTAGCACATTGCATTCATCATTCAATGCACTGATCTCAGTGGTAATCAAAAAATTATGGAATCATTTATTTAATATCTGCTTTCCTGACCAGAACTTAAGCTCCACAAAGACAGGGCCCCTGAGTACGATGCTCTTCGCATCCCCACACAAGAGCTGTACAGTGCCTTTTGTTAGAGGCTTAATAAAAGATCAACAAAAACATCATCTGACTCAAAGATCAGTTGTTACTGCACTGCACATAACTTCTTTGGTGATCTCTGTCAAAGACCTAGATATTGGTGAAATGAGATGCTTTCTTCCATGGGCCATACTCTCCATGCATGTAAGTCCTTCCATCTTGTGAATTACAGGATAATAATAATAGCATTTGTTTTACTATAACCAGTTGAGGGCAGTGTGCTTTACTTAGAGTATCTCTCTTACTCCTTATAACATTTTCTGACATAGATATTTTTATTTCCATTTTGTAAATGGAGAAACTGAAACTAAATGAATTTAATAACTTGTCCAATGTCTCACACATGATAAACCAAGATGAGAATATTTGTTTAACTGATGCCAAAGCCCCTGCTTAGCCTGATGACCCGTTGTTAGAAGCACCCCCTCAGGTCCCTAAGGATCTTTCTCCCTGGAGTCCTCTGAGTAACAACATTGCTATTGTGGATAAAACCACAGGGGTAATCACTACATGGGTAAGATTCCTGTTAGGAATAGATCACCCTGATGTAGAGCAGGGAGCTCCAGGAATACTCCAGTGTTCATTAGGATGTTCCATTTTGGCAATATCCATACCCACTGGCCTTATTTGCAGGTGCTGTTATTTTGCTTCTGTGATTCTGGTATGCCCAAAACCCCCTTTAAAAAAAAAAATATATATATATATATATATATATATAATTTATTTTTAGAGAGAGAGGAAGGGAGGGAGAAAGGGAAACATCAATGTGTGGTTGCCTCTCACATGCCCCCTACTGGGGACCTGGCCCGCAACCCAGGCATGTACCCTGAGTGGGAATTGAACCAGTGACCTTTTAGTCTGCAGATCAGCACTGAGTCCACTGAGCCACGTCAGCCAGGTCCCAGAACCCTTTTCTTATGGCAAATCTTACATGACTGTTTCTGCTATTGCATTTGTCATCATTTATGAACTGATGACCATTTATGAAAGATC